TCACTCTCAGTCTCTCTAAGACTCCCACTCTTTAGTCTCTCCCAGTCCTAGTTCTTCCCCAATGAACCAATGGGCGACGGCCTTCGGCACTCCGATCAAGTCATTGACAGCCTTCGGTGATCCCTCCTTCGACGACACTGGCGAATGGCGATCCTTCCTGCTTCCACAACAACCTGACACATTTCCCTCTCTCTCTCTCTCTCTCTTTCGGATTCTCACTCTCTCAAACTCACACTCTCCCAGTTCTCTTCGTTCTTCCCCAATAGACCGACACCGACAGCCTTTGACACTTCACCCTCCGACGTCGGAGGTGATCCCTCCTGCTTTAGCAACATTCTCTCAGATTCCCCCTCTTCCTGTCTCGTAGTTCCTTTTTTTTATTTTGAGAGCATAAAAATTTGAAAAATCGAACCACGGTTAACTGGTCCACCGATCGGCCGATTAACCGATTCCATTGATTCGATTAAATGTAAAAACCAAACAAATTGGTCCGGTCCAAAAAATTACCCCATGGTTCGGTTTCGATTAATCGAACCATGAGCACCCCTATATGTATGTATGTATACACACACACACATATATATGTATAAATGTATGTAATTGGGCTGGGTTCGGACCAGGTTAGGGCTACCTAAGGACTAGGGTTGAGCCTGACCCAAAAAATAAAAAAAATCTGACTTCTTGGGCTCGAGCCCATCCCGAGGACTGAAAATCCAAGCCCAACCCATGTAAAATTCTGGATTGGGCCAGTTCAGGCTCGGATTGGGCCTGCCCAAGTTGCACCAGCCCGAACTGGGCTTGCCCAAGTTGCACCCCAACTGTCATGTCACTTGCAATTATGAATTGGGAATACCTCTATAAATAAAAAGCATACAAATAATAAAAACATATAAAGATGCTTCCAAGTTTGTATTATTTTTTATTACTTTTTGAAGGAGTATACAACGGGGTACCCCATCCCCCAACCTAGGTGAAGGAGGGATTTGATTCCAAGTGTCTGCTATAGTGAGCACTTTATAGGACTATTAAAAGTTGTCTTCAATCTTTTTCAATGATAGGTTGGGGGTATTTCAAGGGGGAGGTGTCAAAAAAATTTGAAAATGTTCATTTAATATGCTTATAATGGCGAACCTACCTAATTCGGATATGGGTGCAAATGGACCAGATCTTCGAATCACCCCTGTTCGGATCTTTGGATCGGATAAGATAATGTGATTCAATAAAAAATTGGATCTGATTCGGATCACCCCCTATCTGATCCGAGAATATTCAATCCGATTATATAATACATATATATATATATATATATATATGTATGCTATTTATTTATAAATATATTTTTATAAATTTGTTATATTATTTATTTTTTATAAAAATATGTATATATATGACGAAAATAATTTAAAAATACTTGTATTTTTTGTTTCTACTTTATTTAAATTAGTATAATTTTATTTTTCTTTCAATAATTTATTAATTTTTTTTCAAAAAAAAACAAGTTGGATTGGATCATATTAGAATATCCGACTTACCGATAGGATTCAAATTCAAATCAAATCCTATCAGATCCGATCGAATCTTTGGATCAAATAGGATCCGACATTAACTTTTTGAAGGGGGTGCTCCAGAGCCAAATTCTTTCATATGCATTAGGGTGTACATTGATAAATGATTAAGTGAGGTCATCGGCCGACTCATTTACAATGAAAGATGGAAGCAAGGTTCAAAATATTGACACAGGCCGGGTGTATCAACTTGTATAAGTGTTTTTTTTATGTTTCATTTGTTTTTTTTTCCAAAATTGATTTAGAGGGATTGGTTTAAGTCCCAACTACCCTTTAAACCATGGTCTGACCTAATACAACCCCTGTAGGGGCGTATCAGAAAGCCATTGGCACGATACGCATCGACACTTTGAACCTTGTATAGGAGATAATTCAACGAAGATGCATAAATTGGAAATAACTAAAGCCTTTCTCCATTATTCAATAATTATTCAAGGGTCAAAGAACTGAGGTCATGTCTCAACTAACTCTGCAACTCTCGTATTCATTCTTCACATGTCATGTGTGATACGGAAAAAAAGTCAAGGGCATGTTTGATTGCACTGCAAATTCATTTGCACAAGGAATGACATTGTACAAATTGTCCTATTCATTTCCGAACTCGTCTATGTATCCCTAATTCCAAATCCATCCAAAATTTATCTAACTTTTTCTCTCAATTTTCCAAACCCGTCCCATACCACCCATTAAACCCTCTGATTCAACGTTTTATACTAAAAACAAGTCTATTAATGCTTATAATGTGACTTGATACCAAATCAATTTATAATAACATTAAATCTCTTAGCATTACTTTAAGCCACCAAGTCATCTCGCCTTTTGTATCATTTAATGAAATAAAATGTATGATTAACAATTCTAACTTAAAGTTAAAAGAAATAATATTTAAAATTAGCATTTTATAACTAAACAAAATAAACAATCTATCAAATCCAAATTTACATCTAATGATGATTTTAATCCCAATAAATTTATACAAATAGAATATTAATAATAGAATAATTATCTTAGTACTTAATATTTATAAATTTGTTCATGATATATAATATAATAGGTTCATATTTATGTATCCCAGGTATCGGGTATTAGATACCCTAAAGTCAAAACCCAAACCCGTACCAAACCATATAGGGTTTTAATCTAAAATCCCAAATCCTACAATTTTTAATAAATGAGTCCTATTAGGGTCAAAATGGGCTAGATACCCAAAAATTCCTACAAAATTGTCATCCCTAATTTGCACTGATGCAAGACTATTGTAGTGCAAATGATTGGGCTGCAAATTTTGATTTATTTTTATTTCAAATTTTACTTTACTTTATTTGACTGCATTAAAAATGAAGCAAAATAAGACCTAAAGTAGAATAAAATCAAAATCAAAATAAAATTAAACCAAAATTTACATTTTTTTCATTTATACTCTCTCATACATTTGTACCAATGCAAATAAAATTACGTTGCAACCAAACACAGCGAAATTAAAATAAACAAATGTGAAGTGGTTCGGTTACATTGACCTCGCAATTTGCACAATTTATATATTTGAAAGCAAACTCGGTCCCCAAGTCACTAGCTAGACCGAGTGAAACAAGTTCATAATATTCATTACTAGAATATTGTACCGCTACTACATGGATATATAAGATAAACATCTCATGAACCTTGAAAGCATAAATTCAATTATGGGTATGTTTGGTTGCACACACATTGAAAGAAGATCAATGATCATTTACTTGAAAAATAATATTCAATAGAAAAATGACTTATATTTCTAATTTTTGTGGTACTTCATACAACTTAAAATGGTTGATTAATACATGAATATTGCAATATATGAACCAAATTTGGTCTTTAAAAATTATAACTTGTAGAATAAAATAAAGGAATTCATAAACCTGCAATGAGTACTTGCTTCATTATCTTTTAATCACATTCAACCAACACCATTACAGTAAAATTTTTTAAGGCTGTGTTTGGTTGCAGTGCAATTTTATTTGCACTAATACAAATATATGGAAATGCAAATGAAAAAATACAAATTCTTTTGAAATTTTGTTTTGGGTTTTACTTTATTCTGTTTCATGTCTTAATTTACTTCATTTGTATTGCAATCAAACAAAATAAGCTAAAATCTGAAACAAAAATAAGTCGGAATTTACACTCAAATCATTTGCACGGTCATAATTTTGCATCAGTGCAAATTCATTTGCATTGCAACCAAACACAACCTAAAAAAATTATTTATACAAATATAAATACAAGTATATACAGTATAAATATATACAAAAAAAATACAAGGATTTGTATTTGTACTTCTTCCAAACCAAGCCTTATTTTCATTGAAAGTGCTCTCAAATGCATGCTACATCTAAGAATATGTATAGAAGATGAAAATGTATAGAGGTTGACAAGTGAAAAAACTAGACCAATTGGGTTCAGGTTGGGTCAAGTTTCGGGTTAGGTTGTCAAATGCCAGACCCTAACCTTAAATGTTCGAGTTAGAATTGACCCATGGCTTATCATCCCAAAATAATTGAAATTTAAAAACATAAAAAAAATACATGAAAAACACCAAAATTAAAAGAATTAATCTTAAAATTCCAAATATAAAATAAAAACTTGAACATGTAACAATTCAAAAAATAAACAATAAAAAATTAAAGAATAAAAATTTCTAACAATACATAAATAATCCCAATTAGAACTGACAATCAACGGATTAACCCACGGCTTAGCGGATGCGAGCTCATGGATTTCACCCTTTCTCACATTCTTCCTTCCAAGGCCACTCAATATTGTAAGACGGCTTCGTTTTTGACACCTGGCAACCAAGAATATATGATTCAACTCATATTGACACGGTTTGGTGCAAAATTAAATTGACAACTCAACAGTCATATAACATGGATCTTGGATAGACTGGGACGCAGGTGACACGACTTGATGGATCCGGTCAGTCCATTTAATAGAGCCTCCAGTGCAGTTTATCCATTCAGAGCGAAGATGAGTCCTTTGCCACGTGGCAGGTGATTATTGAGCTTGTGGATTACTGAATACGTGGAGAATCTCGTAGTCATACGGTCATACCCCCAATTTTATCTCTTTTAACCAATCCGAATTTACTTCTCACAGTCACAGAGTCGGTGAAAAATCGGCTAACAGCCCGAGTCGGTGCAATGGCTCGGACTCCTTTCACCCCGCCCACAGCAGAACATATATGCCACGTCAGAGAATGGCTGGGCCCAGGACTCACTAAGTGGGCGACGTATGTCCTACACGAGTGAGAGTAGGGGTATCAATGGATCGATTTCGGGTTGAACCCCGTCCAAATCGGAAGTGTTATGGACGGACTGAATAGTCTTAAAAATGATATAGATTCGGACCGATTCGAATATGAATCGTTTATGCATAAAATGGACCGAAAGTGGACAAAGCCGATTAGTTCGAATAAGTCCGCTGGTTCGTAATCCGTTCATTTCGTTTGAAGCGGAAACTTTCGAAGGCAGTGCGACACTATCACTCCATCCTCAGAGTCTAAAGATGAACGAACTTCTGTGGTAGTCTGTTTTTCTTCGGCGATATTCTCCCAACTCCGGTGGTAGTCCAGATGGTATTTCTCTCTCTCCAGCGATTTATCATTGTTTATTTTTCCTCGCCCTCTCACTTTCTCCAACGATAGCACTCCTCCAGTGACAGCCCCCTTTTCTTAGCGACAGCACTCCGGTGGTAGTCTCGGTGGTATTTTGGTCCATTTTTCTCTTACATCTGTCTCTCAAGCGATAGGCTGCTTTGACCTCTGACCTCTGCGATTATTAGGTTCATTCAGGTATTTTCTCTCTTGTTCATTTCTCTCTTCCCTAGACTCTTATTTTTTGTTTTAGTTGTAGAAGATTCTAGGATACAGAGATTTATTTTGAATAATTCAATCTATAGTTTTAGAGCTCTGTTTTAATTCCTATAAATATTTGACATTTTGATACGCAGCAAGCTATAGAGGTTCCAAACTTCCAATTAAATTGGACAGTTAGGTTCTTTACTTTAATATCAACTGATATTATGTTTTTGAATTATATTCTTGCTTGGTTTCACAATAGGTGAAATTTCCCATTTAGATTGCTTGTTAAAACCCCCGAAACCCTTAAAAATTGCAGACACCTCTTGTTCACTAAGTGTATGTTATGCATTACTGATTACATAAAGACAAAATTGGTGCCCTCGTCATTGTTCATGCAGAGGATGACGGATCCCATATCATCATACTGAGTTTTGAGGGAAAGCCTTAATCTATTCAAGATGTGTAACCCTGAATTATAGAGCATAGTTATCAAACACATAACCTGCCTTCATTTTCTTTGCTTTAAAGTGGGAACTAGATCATTCTACTTCCCATTTTACTTCTCAAAAACAAAGAAAATGATGCAGTCATGAAAACAAGGAAAGCTTTTCTTCATTTTCATGTAAATTCTTTATACATGCCTTAGTAGCAAACAGTTGGAAACTGCTAGTGTTTGAAGCTTGAACTTGGTTGAAGATTTGATAGCAGCAAAAAGTTGCACTGTTGACTGTAGTCACTGTAATTCTCCAAGCTTCAAAGTCACTTTCCTGTGTTTCAAAATCAGGCTTTAACCAACAAAGGCCACAAAGATAAGGATTAACTATGAGTTCAAGGAGACTAAGCCCATAGATCAGAAAATGTTTAAGAATTACATGATATTATGAGTTGGCCAGATTTAAATTCCTGTCAACCAGCTTGGCAAGCCTGCCCCACCTATGCCTCCTGGTTGATGTGTTCACTGACTAGCCAACAATCACAAATGGGGCCTCCAATGTTGCTCCTACAGTGATTACCTAGCCATTTTTTTTGCAACCTCTAATCTATGCATAGCATGCCAAGATTTTTTTGTTTCTTCCCTGTTGATTCTATGTTTAGGATCAAGAATAAGGCTTTGTACGTCTATGTACTGTTGCACCTTCATTTTACTTGATGAAATGCATGTTTTCATTGCTGATAGAAAATTACGTTGTGAATCTAATTGACAGAAATATTCTCTGTTTCTTTGTACTGATTCCCTTTCTGTTTGGTATGTGGGGACTTGACATTCATAACAGCAAGGGGGATTTCCTTAATGTATCATGTAGAACTTAATAAATATATGTGGTCCTATATTGGATTGAACTGAAATCCTAGAGATTTGTATACAAAGATCTGTACAACAATGTTTTGAATAAATACATATAATAAATATATGTATTTCCATAAAAGTAGCATCTCTATTAAATATAACACTATTCTTGATAGAATTTACTTGATGCCTCCAACATTTTTGTAACATCTCTATTAAATATAACAGAAAGGGTAGGGTTAGGAGCTGCTCATGCTGTCATCCCTGTATCTCTGTGTTGGGTGATAAAATAGAAAATACTGCTGCACCTTAACCCTTTCTTGAATTGAAGCACGCCTAAATCTTAGTTCAGATGCCCCACAATATTTCCTTTACATCTTCATTGAATTTTGTGACCTACTTCTTACATGCTAGTAGTTACTTGTGCAGAGAAACAGAGAAACGAAGTTTATTACTTTTGACAGAGAAACAGAAAACAGCCTACATTTAGCATCCCTCATGTGATTGACTGATTGGTGACTGGTGAAGCGGTGAGAGGAGCTGCCTAGAACCAAAATGCTCTTTTGCATCAAATAATGGAAGCCCAATAGCCCACTAAGAATCTGGGATTATAGACTGTAGGCTTTCATTTAAGATGAATTAAATCTTTTGCATAGAAAATGCTCTTTTCAGTATGTTGTTTGAGCATGGATAATGGTACTTGGAATTATCAGTAAGCTTGATATTATGCTTATTGGTGACTAAAACTAGAAGTTGGATTGAATCAAACGTTTTATTAGATGTAAGTGTTGGTTATTTCTTGTAACTTTGTGGTTTAATTGGCTGATAGAGTAGTCAATCTAGGATGAAGTAGACCTTTCTAACGTTTAGAGTTTAGAGTAAGCACCAAGAAGCAAGGCTTTAATGCGAGGCTCACGATGGGAATTTGTGGAGTCTGATAGTCTGAGACGAGTTCGTTCAGTCTCACTTGTCAAGGTTTTGCCTGGTAAGTGGTACCTGCCCAGCCACAGAGATTCACTGAGATGGCCCAAGTCCAATTGCAGTGATGCCGTGATGGGTCTATTCACAAACAGTCTAATCCCAATTGTGAAGATTTTAGTATACTTCTACATTTTTTTTCTATATTTTTGGGCTTTCATGTAATTTTCAAACTTCATTTAGTTTGGACTGGATTGGGTCCAATCCGGTCCATTTGCATTTCGATTGGACTGGACTGGATCCGGTTTGTATAGGGTTTGGACCGGGGACCAATGTTGGATTGGATCGGATTGGACCAAATCCAGTCCAATTGACAGCCCTAGTCATAGATGGGGAACTCATTTTGTTGAGTTGTAAGCCTGTAATGCTTACATTAAGTAGGTAGACTCTATAAAGTGTGAATGCCCGTCTATAGATAAACTCTCTTATCTCTTTGTTAATTGTTAATATATATCTAAATGTAGACACTCACAGGATTGTCCTGTTAAGCATGTTAAAAATCTGATATTTTTTTGGTCTAAAGAGCCTCCCCAATAGATGGTAGCCCTGTCTATTATATTTTGGCTTAATTATGAATGAATGGTTTCTTTTACCATGCAAAAAAAACCATTAATTCAGTCAAAAACATCAGACTGGAATTCATTGGGTAACCAATAGTTTCTTTTACCAATCCACTGGAATTCATTCAAATTCACATGGATTTCTGACTATAAAATAATTTTCTTGTATCACAGGAATTATCCATTTGAACATATATGGAGTTGGTTACATGAATCCCATTTTTCCATTTAATTTTATTAACTAAAGCTTGAAATCGAATCTTGGAAACATGTTTGTTTTGCTCCTCTGAAATTGTAGATATAATTTAATGGCAAATTCATGGCAATGTACATTACAATTTTTGTACTGGTAGAACAATCTTTTTCATGGATTTAGTAAACTAAGGCAAACCCATGGTTTCACTTCAACTGGTCAATCAATTTAAATTAAAATATATGCAATTAATTGTTTCTATTAATATCATAGCAACTTGGTGTAGGTTTCCTTCCTTTATTGCAGACCATGTGGAAACCACCCACCAGTCACTACTTTAAAGGGACACTACTTCCTCCATCAACATCCAACTGTCAACTACATGAATTGTTTTAGTGATATTGTACCCTGAAATTGTCGGTTTCATTGAGGAAGAGAAAGACCAGTTCCCCTCTGTTGAAGTTCAATATGTTTTTAATTCTCCACCCGAACTTGTCGTGTTGGCTCAATAAATATTGACACAAAATGGGCCATTTGGACTGCTGAAAATTGGCTTATGGCATTTAGTGGAAGCCCTCCTCTGTTTGGTACCTGTTCATTAATCTTTAGGGGGGCTTTCTTGACAATCCAAAAACAAGCAGTATAGGTCTTTGTTTAAATAAATCAAGCATGGAATTGATTTAATGTAGGGTCTCTCAAACCTAACACTGGCACATTAACCTATAGCCTCTATGATAAAAGCCAACTTTGTTTTTTTCCTTCTCATCCATGTTAATCTTGTTGCCATTTGCTTACCTTTTAATCCCCTTTTTACATGTGGGTTTACTTCAGCAGTTCAGCTGGTTCCATTAGTTTTCTTTTTTCTTATTTTTTGATGGCTTAATACTGAACTCTAATATTTATGATGGTGTGGTTTTATTCATATTGGATTGATTTAGTTCACATAAACTCAGGGGTTTACTGGGTCTTTATGGGGTTGTAGATGTTTCTAACTTAATACTCCTAGTATGATAAATTCTGACTTAATACTCAGGCTTGCACCTGAAGCACATCTGTTGGATGGTCATCTTTCTAGTGGACTGAGCGCTCCGCCCAGCATTGCACGGTATGAAATAAGCAGATTGTTATGTCTCCATATTTCACCTTTTAGGTTATGTTTCTTTTTTCAAATAATTGGGTTAACATCTATCATTTCTGCAGGGCTTCTCTTTCTTCAATCTATTATGGAGGCCACTTCAGTTTTCCTTCACTCGAAAGCAATCCCGTTTGGTTTCTCTTTCGCAAAAACCAATCGGTTCTCTCTCAGACAACGAAATAAACACCTACAAGCTCATCTTCTTAATGAACGCTCTTGGAACTTGAGGAATTTTGGAATCATCAAAACCCCTTTGGAATGCTCGTACTCATGTATATCTCAAAATTCATTAAGCAAAATCCTGATAAATCCTGTTTTTTTATCACCATTATCAACGAAAAAGACAGGGGGAAGAAACGAATCCTTTTATCCTCTTAAATGCTCTTATTCCGACAACTCTGAATTCCAAAACCCATTAGCCAGAACCCTCAAGAACCTTTCTGTTTCTTCGTTGAAGAGTACCATTTCTAATCTTACCCCTCTGGACGTCTGCAAATGGTCTGCTATTCTCTCCATCTCCATTGCAGCAACAAAATGGACTGTAAATCTCCTATTGAATCCTTTCTTCTGGATGTATTTCAGCTGGACCTGGCTTTTCTGGCCTTGGTTCCTAGCCATCAGTCTTGCACTCTATGGACTTTATTGCCTACGAAAACACTTTCATGGTGAAGCAAACATCTTCGAACAGCTAGTCATAGTGACCTCAACATTTACTTGGCTCACTCTTGTTCCACCCGCCCATTTTAACGGCTATCTGGAAGGTTGGCCATTTGTTTTCTTCTTTGTTTACCACTATTTTTTTTTCTTCAATGTCAGTGTCAGGAAACGCCTGTATGGCGACTACTATCCTCGATCCCATGATCCCAAATGGGATGTTAGTCCACCTAATTCTCATCGGCTTGGGTTTTGTGTTGGAGTTATGGCTAGCCACTGGCTGGCAGCATCTGAAGGACTGGCATTGCATCTCACGCCTGGAGGATGGAGTAATCTCGGGATTTGGATTTTGATCATGTCGACACTATTTATGCAGTATCACTCCACATTGTACCTTGCAAAGTATTCAGAGAAGGTGGTGGTGCCAACTTCTGTTGTGCAATTTGGGCCATATAGATGGGTCCGCCATCCGATATATGCATCCACAGTGCTTCTCTTTTCAACTTACTGTGTTGCACTCCGGGCGCCACTCAGCTTTCTATTTATGGTAGTGGTTTGTTTGTTGTATTATGGATACAAGGCCAAATCGGAGGAGGAGTTGATGGTGGAGACTTTTGGAGAAAGATATATGGAATACATGAGTAAAGTTAGGTACAAATTGATTCCTTTTGTCTATTAGTCTGCTATTTAACAAACTTTGTTTGCTATGCAACAAAACTGAAATTTGTAGGATTCATTAATTGAATCAATTGATTAAGCTTTAGCACCAATGCCTTATATAAAAAATGTGATGCGTTAGATTGGGCTTAACAGAGCGTTTTGTTTTCATGGTCCTCAATTCTGTTATGCCTTTTATGATTCTCAATTTGGTGTCTTCTGCATTCTCTTATGTTGCCTAAGTTGGTGACATGCTTATTTCTTATGTGGCTTCGTCAATTTGTGTTTGTTTATATTTGCCGCCAACATCATCGGAACCTTGATAAGCTGCACGCTAGTGATTTTTCATCCATCACTTATACTACTTCATTTGTGATGAGTCTTTGTATTGTAATCATTTTGGTTCGTCATTCTTAGAATATCAGATACTTAATTGAAACTTCTACAGGTTATGCTGTGCTCCAGGCCTAAGTGCTTGCTAATTTGTTCAAAAAATTTCTCTAAGTTGAAATCCTTTATCATGGCTCGTTTGCAAGCTGTCATCCACCTGAAAGACAAATAAAGATCAAAAACTGCTTACATTCATGCTACCCATTTCTGTTTTTTCTCTTCTATTTTATTTTTGTCTAATTGTCTCACCAGAAATTCACATGAAATATCTACCAAAAATCTTTAAGGTATTTGCATGGTTTAAAGATTGTTGAGATATACAATTTTGGTAAATGGTAATCTGTGCCATCTAAACTATTCACCATTTAGTTTGAACCAAGTTATGTCTGCTGTATGGACTAACAACATATATTCTGTTTGGTCACTGCCAAGTCCTATCCACAATTCTACTGAATGAAAGCTGAACAACATGTTCTTATCTCCTGCTTGGACTTTCAAAATTCAATATATGTTGTTTGAAGCATAATTGGTATTGCTGGAGACACCTCAATTAGATGTTTCCACTGGTGCTTACTACTATTAACTGCTCTAAACATGTGGTCAATCTAGAGAACTATTTACCTAGCGGCTTGGCCAGAAAATGAAAATACCTGCATTAGGCTGAAAAGGGATAGGTTGCGCAACAAAGGATATGCGCAACCTGATTTGGATTCATAGGCAGGTCGCGAGGGAGATTAGATGCTTATCAGAAGAGATTGGTGTAATTGTTAGATGGGTTAGAAGATCATTAAAGTATTGTATTAATTTGTAAGATCAGGTAATAAATACAAGCCATGAGGCTTGAAACAAAAGGCGAATCTGGGGCAGGTTGTGTTTAGAGAAGTTGCCCGTGCATAATATACAGAAACCATCATTTTTGATAATAAATAAAAGAGAAATTTCATTAAATAAAGAAGATACACTAACAAATAGTGTGTTGAGATAGCTTGACAATCCAAAAAGAAGGTGCAGACAACAAAAGACAGCACTCATATTTTAATTCAGATTACAACATCAAATTTCAATTCAAGAGTCTCCAGAAACTTGAACCAAAGGAAGGTTTATCCGCCCCTGAGAATTCCAGCAGTACCAAAACCCAATTCACAATCATATCCTCGTCATAATAAAAGGAAATCTGTTATGGATGCATTCGTGGGAAAGATTTACCGCCTCCGGCAGCAGCAATAAGGAGGGCCCACACGACAACTCATCATGGGTTTACACTTATCTTGCCACGATAGTTTTTCTTGCCAACTCGCCACCTACTTACCTTATCCCTTATCCCATCTATCCTTATCGAGCTGTGAATTGGAATAAAGTCATTCAGTTTTCCAGTTAAGAGAAGAGTGAGGAGAGTTCGGGTGGTCTTTTGGACAAATCACCCATTCGGTTGCCACAATAGGGTCTGCACGCAAGGGAAGGCGCAAGGGGAAGCAAGAGGTTCTCCCCGTGAACCGACCCGTGACGAGATCCTACGCCCGGGCCCATAACATTCTGGTATCAGAGCCTACCGTCATGGGGGAACAGGAGCCGCTGTCATCCAGGGTCCACGAACTAGAACATAGGCTCGCAGAGACCAGCATGGAGGTTCGTGAAGTCAAGGATGATGTCCGGGAACTGCGACGCCTGCTGGAAGCGTTCCTCTACAAAGAAAGAAGTTCTGAGGGGACCGCCACCACCAACAGTCACCGTCCGGACTAGGCAAAGACGTCCAACGAACAGCAGATCGCTGCGCTGACAGCCGCAGTTATTCCCAAGTATAGCCGGTTGGAATTTCCGTCTTACAACGGCACCGGAGACCCGTTAGGATGGTTGTATCGCTGCGAACAGTTCTTCCATAATCAGCGCACTGATGACAAAGACAAGGTCAGTCTGGCCGCCTTCCACCTATTGGAAGAGGCACAGTTCTGGTTCTATTGTCTGGAGCAGGAAGAACCCGGGCTCAGTTGGGGGCAATTTAAATCCTATTGCCTCCTCAGGTTTGGACCCCCGTTGACAAGCAACCCGCTGGGCGAGTTAATCAACCTCAAGCAAACTGGAACCGTGGCAGAATACCAACATCAGTTCCAAACCCTCCTCGCCAGAGCAACCTCGGTTCGCGCAGATCAGCAAGTCGATATGTTTACAACAGGGTTAGTAGAACCCCTACAAGTGGACGTAGAGATGCAACACCCTCCTAACCTGGTCACAGCAATGAACCTCGCCCGCGCCTTCGAACGGAAGATGCAGCTCTCCCACGGAAACCTCAGTATAGGTTGGCTGGCAACGACCTGGGCACCTTCGAAGACAGCAGGAGTGTCTCATTCTTCGACCGCCAGCAGGGAACAGAGGCCCCCTGCCGGTAACCCTTCCAGATCGGCATCAAGTATAGGGAGTAGCAGGACAACACCCCCCATTAGACGACTGTCCCGAGCCGAGATGGCAGAACGGCGCGCAAGAGGGCAGTGCTTCAACTGCGACAATCTGTACTCCTCTGGGCACAGGTGCAAGAAACTATTCTGTCTGCTGGTAGACGAACTCGAAGAAGACGAGGATGAACTTGCAGCATCTGAACCAGAGATCTCCCTCCACGCCATCACAGGGATCAAAACATCACAGACCATGCAACTAAGGGCATTGGTAGCAGGGCAACCAGTTCGCATTCTCGTAGACTCCGGAAGCACCCACAACTTCGTCAGTGAACAGGCTGCCCATCAGTTAGCGTTACCGATGGAAATCAGGCCGCAGTTACAGGTAGCCGTGGCCAACGGGGAAAGAGTTCACAACCCCGGTATCTGCAAGGACACCGAGATTCAGGTCAGATTGGAATCCTTCCATGCTGATTTATTTGTACACTCCTTGGATGAATTCGACATCGTCCTAGGAGTCAAGTGGTTGATCACTCTAGGGCCCATCCTATGGGATTTCAGTGCCCTGACAATGACTTTCCACCTGGATGGGAAACCGGTTACATGGCAGGGAACCAGAATAAGAACAAAAACACAGCTACATACACTCCAAGGTGAGAACTCGCGCGCAACATATATGGAGAGGCTCCTCACGGATTTCTCTACAGTATTCAAAGAACCCAAGGGGCTCCCACCTTCCAGAGCCTGCGATCATCGGATCCCTCTGATAGCCGGATCGGATCCCGTTGTCGTCCGACCCTATCGCTACCCACACCGACAAAAGGATGAAATAGAAAAACAGTGCGTGGACATGTTACAGTAGGGGATCATCCGTCCCAGCCGCTCCCCCTTCTCATCTCCGGTTCTGTTGGTACCCAAGCAAGATGGGACTTGGAGATTTTGTGTGGACTACAGAGAACTTAACAACTGGACGGTCAAGGATAAATTTCCTATTCCCGTCGTAGATGAGCTATTGGACGAGCTCCATGGCGCACAGTACTTCTCAAAATTAGACCTCTGATCGGGTTACTTCCAGGTTCGAATGACTCCCAAAGATGTAGAGAAAACAACCTTCAGAACACACCATGGCCATTTTGAATTCCTGTTATGCCATTCGGCCTCAGCAACGCTCCCTCCACGTTCCAGGCCCTGATGAACGAGGTGTTCCACTCCCACCTCCGCAGATTCGTCTTGGTATTCTTTGACGACATCCTAGTCTATAGCAAGTCGTGGGTAGAACACATGCAACATCTACGGGTCGTTCTTGAACTCCTGCAACAACATCAACTCGTCCTTAAGCGATCCAAGTGCTCCTTTGGGGAACGCCGGGTCCTTTACTTAGGACATGTGATCAGCGGGCAAGGGGTCACTGTGGATGACTCCAAGATTCAGGCGATCAAAGAATGGCCCAGACCACAATCCGCCAAGGCTCTCTGCGGGTTCCTAGGGCTGACAGGTTACTACCGCAAGTTCGTACAAAATTATGGACTTTTGGCGGCCCCACTAACCAATTTGCTCAAGAAAAAAGCCTTCCATTGGGATAGTACAGCCGAGGAGGCCTTTGTAAATTTAAGAGAAGCCCTCTCCTCCACGTCAGTTCTACAGTTACCAAACTTTGATCTCGAGTTTACAGTAGAATGCGATGCATCCGACACTGGCATCGGCACCATACTACAGCAGCAAGGGCATCCGGTAGCCTTCTTCAGCCGCAAACTGGCCGACCGCCACCTTAAGTTACCCGCCTATGAACGTGAACTGATTGGGCTGGCAAAGGCAGTGCAGCACCAGAGGCCGTACCTATGGGGAAGGTCCTTCGTGGTCAAGACGGACCACTACAACCTCAAATATTTGTTGGAACAACGACTTACCACCTCGCCACAATAGCATTGGGTCAGCAAACTTCTTGGCTTCGATTTTCGGGTGGACTACAAGGTGGGAACCTTGAATCGTGCCGCAGATGCCTTGTCTTGCAGAGAGGAAGACAATATGCTCCTCCATGCGATCTCACAGCCCCGAGCCACCCTATTGGAGGACATTCGGAACATACTGCCACAATCACTAGAGTGGAACGATCTTGTCCAGAGAATACAAGCCAGAACGACCAACCCAAACTGGTCCATGCACAGCGGATTGGCACTATACAAGGGACGGATTTATCTCCCAATCGACTGTTCCTTAATCCCCTCCGTCATCTCTAGCATACACAACTCTACGCATGAAGGTGTACAGAAGACTTTGCACCGCATCCACGCTGATTTCCACTGGCAGGGTATGAAGGCTGCGATGCGGGACTTCATTCAGAACTGCTCTATGTGCCAACAACAAAAGTGGGAAAACTTGCACCCAGCTGGCCTTCTCCAACCACTTTCACTTCCAACTCAGATCTGGGCAGATATTTCCATGGACTTCATCGAGGGCCTACCCAAGGTTGGCGGAAAGTTGGTCTTATTTGTGGTAGTGGACCATTTTTCCAAATATGCTCATTTCCTTCCCTTATCCCACCCTTATAGCGCGGTTTCAGTGGCCCACACCTTCTTCACCCACATCTTCCGATTGCATGGGCTACCTGAATCCATCGTAAGTGACAGAGACTCGATCTTTACTAGCACCTTCTGGAAGGAGCTATTTTGACTGCAGGGAACAACCTTGGCCTTCTCCTCCGCCTACCATCCGCAGACTGACGGCCAAACGGAGGTGGTAAACCGAACAATAGAGATGTACCTCCGCTGTTTTGTGGGAGACCAGCCCCGACGCTGGGTGGAGTACCTTCCGTGGGCCGAATACTGTTACAGCACGTCTTATCACTCCTCTCTTGGCATGACTCCCTTCCGGGTCGTTTATGGTCGGGACCCTCCCCGTCTATTGTCTTACGAACCCGGTTCAACACGGTTGGAAGAAGTTGATCGCAACCTACAAGATCGCAATGCCCTCTTGGCCGAAGTCTCCCAACGCTTACAGCAGGCTCAGGCACGCATGAAGAACGCCTATGATCAGCGCCACCGAGAGTTAACCTTCGAGCCAGGACAGTTCGTTTGGCTGAAGCTCCAACCCTATCGGCAGCTCTCCCTCAGACGCAGAGCCTTCCCTAAACTGGCCCCCAAGTTCTACAGGCCCTTCAAGATCTTGCGGCAGATCGGGAAGGTTGCGTTATCAGCTCAAGCTACCATAACACAACAGACTACATGATACCTTCCACGTGTCCTTCCTGAAGCCTTTTACAGGGATTCCTCCTGATCAAGTACCTTCCCTACCCCCTTGAAGGACGGCAGACCCATTCTCCAACCTCGAGCACTTGTCCGGTCTCGCGTCAATTGGGGTACCTTAGAAGTCCTCGTGGAGTGGGATGGCCTACCATCAGCTGAGGCCACCTGGATTCCCTGGTCTTATCTTCACAACGCCTATCCAGATCTCGAGCTTGGGGACAAACTCGTTGCCCAGGAGGGGTGTGATGTTATGGATGCATTCGTGGGAAAGACTTACCGCCGCCGGCAACAGCAATAAGGAGGGCCCACACGACAGCTCATCAGGGGTCCACACTTATCTTGCCACGACAGCTCTTCTTGCCAACTCGCCACCTACTTACCTTATCCCTTATCCCATCTATCCTTATCTTATCTTCTGTTCTTAGTAGGAGTTTTGTTACCATTAGAAGTAGGAGTTTGATTTAAAGTTGGATTATCCTAGCCTAGTCGAATACAATAAGGACTTCCCTCTTGTAATCTCCTATTTAAGGAGCTGTGAATTGGAATAAAGTCATTCAGTTTTCCAGTTAAGAGAAGAGTGAGGAGAGTTCGGGTGGTCTCTTGGACAAATCACCCATTCGGTTGCCACAATAGGGTCTGCACGCAAGGGAAGGCGCAGGGGGAAGCAAGAGGTTCTCCCTGTGGACCGACCCGTGACGAGATCCTACGCCCGGGCCCATAACAAAATCCACCACACTGCAAGAATAAATGCCTCATGTCTTCATACCATTATTGATTATTGAACATGTATAATAAACTCATAGTCTTCACGTTCCTCTTCTTTAAATGAGAAATGTCTGTTTTTTTTTTCTTTACTACAAAATTTAAATTGATGAGTTAGGGTTTCTTCTTAATGACTTGAATTCTGTTCTACACTTTGACTATGACAATTCTTTGGATATTTTAACTCTGAAATGAGACTAGTTGAATTCAACTATTTGGCTAGAGAGAGGATTTTTGGGCAGTGATTTAAAAAGGTGCACCTAGGCACACAGGTGAGATGCATTTTAAGGTATATGCCTTGCCTAAGCCCTAGGCACAACAATTTCATTGTACAGGGGCCCTATTGTTTTTTGGTCTTTTGATAAATGATATCAAGGCTTAGTTTGAAAGGAGTACAAATACAAATATGTACTATGCAAATACATAGAAAATAATACAAAATATAAGGTTTTGCACTCTACAAATGTATTTGTACTCCTTCCAAACCGACCCATTTATATAATTTGTAGAGTTTGGTTTTGGAAGTACAAATACAAGGTTTTGGGTAGTTCTTAGGCTCAGTTTGGAACGGATTGGAAGGAGTACAAATGCATGGAACTACACAAACTGAGCCTAAGGCTGCCCAAAATATAAGGTTTTCTATGCAAATACATAGAAAATAATACAAAATATAGGGTTTTGCACTATGCAAATGCTGACTTCTCTGTATCCTGAGAATCAGTGTCACAAACATGAACTCATTTTTTTAATAAAATAATCTGCTTGTGTAGTTCCATGAAGCAGTTCTTGTTAGCCAAAATAAAAAAAGAGCCCACGATCATTGGTTATACACTTCTACCCAAACTTGTCAAAGGAGTAGCGACCAATTAATTAAAATTTCCATCCTCAAGATAAATTTTGTGAGCTTTGAGATCAGACATTATTTATTAGAATTGATGCTTGTCAGTTTCTCTATCTCTGATAGCTTTGATTGAGTTGTCGTTTGCTGGGTGTTGTTAGTAAAAACTACTGAGGAGTTTCAAAATTTGAATCATCTGGGCTATTTAATAGCTATATTTAATTCACACCGAGTACTGAGTTACCGACCGGGCTGTTGGAGTCTCGAACGGATCAAGCAAGCACAGAAAAAGTTCAACAATGTGGTTTGAACTTTGATGTTGCAGGTTAATTTCCCACCTGTACTGTCCCTTGTAAAAGGCAAGCCAAACCGTTCAAGAATCTACAAAGATTAACAGCTTTTATTTGTTTTCATGAAAACGTTGAAGAAAAATGAGTAAAAACCAGGAATTATTCAGGCCATGTCTGAAAACATTTTGTGGTGTTTCAATGTGTGATCCTCATTACATATTCACTGCTACATGTATTATTCAAAACTTTGTATTGTTTCTTCACCTTCTCGTCTCGTAGTTGGCTTTGAAACAAGTCTGCCTTACTTTCTTGGTTTTCCCTGTAATCTTCAACTGCGGTAGTTTTCTCTATAAGCTCCATACCCAATTTCTATTTCCATCCACAAATTCAACAGGTAGTAAGCATTCTTCGTAGAAAAACAAAATGGTAAAAGGGGGAAAATGCTGAAAGAAACTTAGTTTAGAAGCAAATTAGTAATGAAATGAGAAAAAATACAGTAATCAAGCAAATTGGTTTTTTATGTTGCTGTTTTTCAGGGGCATTTTGTCCTTTCCATGGTTTCCACTCTCCAGTGCTTATGGAGTTTCATGATTACTGTGTTTCATGAATACCGACTCAGGATATTGATTAAGAGAGTCCACAGAAGATGACTCAGATGGAACAGTACAGCAGCCACTGTAATGAATATGATTTAGAGATTGTGTGATTGTGATTGTTCATACTAAAGATAAGATGACCTGGAATTCTCTCCATCATTTGAAGAGTCTATGCCTATAATAAAACAGGTAGTATCATTTCTATGCCTGCCTAAAGTTAAGATGATCTGGAATTTACTGTTCCAAGTAAATAAGACAGATGGGTTAGATAATCAAAGAATTGTAAATACGGTTAGGAATCAGCAAAAACTAATGAGCATAACTATCTACTTTTGCCTTATTATTTGGACAGTGCAAAGCTTTGACTCTATATGAAATGCTATATATAGATCATATGGTTGGTAAATGCATGTTAAAAATTAAAAAGAAAATAGTTGAGATGAGACTGCTAAGATGGATGCATGACAAGGTTTAAAAAGTCAAGAAAAAAGTGTTATAGAAGTAGCCCCAATTGGTGACAACATGACAGTTGATATACAATCAATCTATAAATTCAACTATAGTCGGTTTACAAATTGTAGTTCTCTAATGCAAGGTTCAAAATATCGATATGTCTGGTGCATCGGACGAATCAATACTATTTTCTTGTAGTTTTTTTTTTTAATTTTTTTCTGAAACCGGTTCAGAGGGGCCGTTTTAAGTCTCCTCCATCCCCTGGACCGGTCAGACTTCCGATGCACCCACTATAAGGGTATATCGGTAGGGTTCTGGAATGATATATCGGCTGATATGGGCAGATTATTGGAGTTTGACAAGTTGAAATTGGTTTGAAACTTGGAGAATTACACTAAAATAGATAACTCTTATAAGTTGATATGCAATCCCGTTAGCTGAGTTCAAATCTGTGCCTCACGACCGGGCGCCCCACAAACTCCCCAGACAATCGGAAGGCACCAAGTGTCCTCTCGCACGATTTCCTCCCTTAGCGTGCGTGGAGCTAACGAGACGGCTGTTGGCTCCAAATTCCCGCTACTCTCGACTCTCGACCTGGCCTCCTCTATCTAATTTTGACCCTCCCCTACACTCCTACATCCGAGCTAACAGCAAGAACTCCGGCGACGAAGACCGTTCCGGAAGACACACTGGAGGTATTCCTCGTTTGCCAGTAGTCTCCACTTCTCTCCTCCGACCTTCTATTCATCAATCGCTCTTTTTCTTCTTTTGCTCCAGGAAGGAACTATTTATTTTCGATGGCCACATTGGACGGGGCCAAGAAGCTAAAGACGCCGAACTATCTCCGGTATGTTGAATCCTTGGCGGTTCTACACTTCGACTATCCAGCGACGGGAAGATTTTGCATTCGCATGCTGTACTCTTCGGGGAAGCGCTTGCTTCGGAGGAGAATGATCTGGTGTTCCCTAGTGAGAGTTCTCTCGCCATGCTCTGGTTCCATCACCAATGTAGGTGAGCGTCAATTGATCTACGCGAGTCGGAGTATTGGATCACTAGAAATCTATATTTTGGTGCGTTACTTGAATATGGGTGTTCTTCTTCTTCTTCTTTTTTTTTTTTTTTCACAAAATAGGATTCATCTTATTAGAACAAGAACAAAATTTGAGGCGTTCATTGAATATGGATATTCTTAATTTTGAATGTGGGTGTTTTTACATAGAATTCACTTTTTCTATTTTTTTAGAAAATCCAAGTTTTGATAAGATGAATAGGGAAATCTGAACCTGTATAATGGTCGGGTGGTCGCCGGTGATCTCCCTTCCCTTTTGTGTTTTATATTGAAAAAAAAAGATAAAAAATAACTCAGTAAAACATGTAAAGGATGCTAGAGAGGGATGAGATGAGAGGACGGGGAGTGGTGTATTTGTCGGATTGGTCGTCTTTAACGGAGTTCTCGCCATTAGTTCAGATGGAGGAGTGCAAGGATCAAGAGACGAGGCCAGGTCAAGAGTTGAGAGTAGCGGGAATTTGGAGGTAACGGGACGAGCTAACGTTCGTCCTGTTAGCTCCACACGCGCTGAGGGGGAAATCGTGTGGAAGGACACTTGGCACTTTTCGATTGTGTGGGGCGTCCGGCCGTGAGGCGCAGATTTGAACTCCCATCAGCTCCACGCACACACACGCTATGGCAGTAAATCGTGCGAGAGGCGCCTTCCGATTGTGTGGGGCGCAGATTTGAATTCGCGTGTGGCCATCTGTCCTCCCGCACAAACTGCACCCCTAACGCACTCTCCGGCTGAGACCTGTATACTTCTCAATCCGATCCGAGCTCGAAATCCACGCACTCCGATGCCGACGACTGTTCCGGCAGTTTCACCGTCCGGAGGTACTCCCCGTCTATCTCATCTCATCTCTCTTTTACATCCATTACGATTAGGGTTTGATATTAATTTTTATATATATATTTTTTATTTTCAATTAAAAATAATGGAGGGGAAGTTATTCACCCACCACCGGCCATCTCCGGCGACCACTAGCAACAGTAAACAGGTGGTGCGTTTTTTTCCCTCTTCCATCTGTTCTGTGGCATCCCATATACACCCCACAATGGCATCCCATACTATCGATATGGGACTAATGAATCGTAACGTTCCATCACGCTCTGCAGTCCCGGCGTTCATACAGGCTGGCTTTGCATTAGTCCCCCTAGTCCCGGCCTAACACTGCAATACCGGCGTCACCACTTGCGTCGCACGATTGCAACAAGGAGGCATAGTATAGGCTTTGATACCAAAATGTCACGGATCTCTTCTCCCGAGAAGGCAGGCTAGGGTTACCCCGAGCTATGGTGGCGACGCCGCTCGAAGGGGAAAACTCTAGAGAGAGAAGACGAAAGAAAAGAAAAAGGAAAACAAATGTAAGTTGTAATAATAACTCGCGTTGTTATTCCTCTCGGCCTCCATTTATAACAGTGGATTTGTCATACAAGCATTGCCACGTCAGCATTCGAAACAACCTCATAACAACCTAATGATGACAATCATAACAGACCATGATTACCTTCTAACGACCTGTAACAGAGAATATTCGGCTTCAGAGGGGCGTACGTAGGGAACGTGACATATTTGCTCTTCAGGAATGCGGATTGTCGTTAGAGTTGTAGAGCAACAAACTTTTGTTTTCTCAGATCGAAGAAGTTCCGGACCTGAAATATAGGTATTTTAAGCTGTAAAATTATAACTAAGCATTTCCAATACAGTGTTAAATGCGTCCTTTGATGGTCCGGTGCTATGCTTTTTTCTTTGAACTGACAAAAGAATTGATCTTTAATTAAGTTGTGCTAAGCTCGAAGCCTCGAACTGTCTAGATTTCTACAAGGAAAGAAACCGATTACCATGGATGTTTAAATCTGGGTTTTATTATATATGTTTATATGAACGAACGTGTTTTGGAACTGTCGAACTGATGAGGCTGAAAAGAAATAAATGAATGTTTTTGGGGTGCTTGTTTGTAAGTTGGATCTTTAATGTTTTCATAACAAGGCATTTGAGCGGGAATCCTGCATTTCGTTTAGGACTTCAGTTGATTTTCTCAGTCTCTTTTGGTCTGATTCTAGAAGCAGAATCCCAGTTACATCTTTCAGGCTCGCGTTATCTGTTTACATTCTCTTGCAAAGATTTTCAGCCAATGGAGTCTACAACAAAGCCTGTTAAACCTTCTTCTAACATTTCAGACATTGTCTAAAGATTTGCTGGGGAAAATGCAAATGAAAAAAAAAAAACAGAGTAGATGGAAGAGGGAAAAAAGCGCACCACCTGTTTACTGTTGCTGGTAGTCGCCGGAGATGGCCGGTGGTGGTTGAACAACCTCCCCCTTGTCTATTTGAATTGAAAAAAAGAAAATATCAAACCCTAATCATAATGAATGTGAGAGAGAGAGATGAGATGAGAGAGACCGGAAGTACCTGGTCGCAAAGTTGATGATACTGCAGAGATGGTGACAACAATGTTTGTGGTGGTAAAGGTGCTGCAGGGGATGATGCTTACTGCAATTGTGCTTGCAAGGTGTTTCGAGCTTGTGATTAGTTAATGTTCTGAATATTGTAATTGTATTGTAAATCGTAGTGAAGCTTGAGTTGAATTGTGAATCATATAAGTTTACCGCTTTTACTTCAGAAGCTTGAGATGATATAATCAGGTTTGTTTTGAATGTCAATTAACACACAAATATGATGGGAGATAAGCTCAAAGATGTCTTTAAATAGGTATTTAGATAATAAACAAGTCTTACTCTATTAAGGGTTTAAAATAAAAAAAGAAAAGAAAAGAAATAAGTAGAGAACTCGGATGCATATATTCGGAAAAGTATTCAAATAGGAATCCTTGGAATTCATGATTTGAATCATGGATTGTATTTTAAATCATAAGATTTTGATCACTATGTTTAGGGTTAGCAATAATTCAGGTTAAAAATCATCATCATCATCACCAAATGGGGTTGACTACATGAATCCTGTTTTGCGATTCCATTTTGTTTAGTTCCATACCATTATTAAAGTATGAGTGCTTAAATCATTTTTACTACTTCAACCCATCTTCAACCCATATCCTTTTTGGTATGCTCCTAGCCCTTCTAGCAAACTTCCAACATATTGCTTCTTCTTATGGGTGCTGAATGGTTCATCTTAAAAATGCTGAACTAAAACCTTACTGATCAATATTGGCTTGAATACATTAACCTGAATGAGGCAACAATGTAAATTTCTAGATTTCATCTGGCAAAACGTCCGCAAATCCTGTATAACCAGAAAGGATTTTTCTTAGACTGGTTAAACTTTTAGGTCAGGGTGAACCTCAAGATATTCACTCTGGTGGCAGTGCAGCACTGTGGGTATTCTCTATTATTAGTGTGGCAGGTGGTAGTTTCTAGAACGTGTTAGGGCTCGATATGTTCTTGATTTTCAAAAGCAATTAAACTTTTTTCCTTCATTCCACTTTCGGATTTTTTTTTTTTTTGGATCAGATGAGAAGTTGCTTTCCCCTTCTCTGTGTACATTTAAGAACATTTTGATTCTTCACATGTAGAACTTTCAGGTTTTGCTCCTCTATCTTTAGCTTATGTAATTATTGTGGAGCCCCTTCAATTGTTTCTTGAATTTTTGGTCGCTTTTGCAGGCAGCACCAGTTAATATTGTTGTTGGTTCTCATGTATAGGTTGAAGATCTTGTATTGGCTTGGATTGATGGAGAAGTTTCACGAATCAATGGTCACGAGATCCATATTACCACTACAAATGGGGAAAAGGTATTTACTTACATTTTAATTTTTAGTTTTCCTCTCATTTTTTTCCTGATTGTTCCTTCTTAGTTCTTGAAAAAATTTGTATTATTGATGAAATGAGCTTTTTAACGCTGAAAACCATCTATTTCATTCTAATACATGGAAGCTCAATTCTGTACAAAACATAAACACTTTGGCAGTTCAGTAGGCGTTTTATGGATGGGCTAAACATTTGGCTTTTTCTTGTGATAAAGAATCAGCCAATTTTCTATGTACTAATCAATCTCAGACGATAGGCCGTGTAATTGTGATATCCAGATTGGAGCACTCTATGGCAAGTTTCTTCTGCTTGAATAAGCTATGGGTCACTTTCAATGGTTAGGCACCTGCTAGGAATGATCATGGGCGCCGGAAAATGCGTAGATTCCGAGCTCAGATCGGATGGAGGAGTACATAGGTCTTTGAGAGCGAGTTTTGGAGCTAACGGAATGAGCTATTGTCCGTCCTGTTAGATCCGCACATGTTAGGGGTGCAGTTTGTGTGGGAGGACAGATGGCCGCATGCGATTGTTTGGGGTGCCTGTGGGGCGTTGATGCAAACTCCGAAGTAGGGGGACTGTGATGAATAGCCAAAAGATGGAGGTGAGTTGAGTTGCAGTAGGGGAACACACGAGTGTTGAGTCACAAAAGGTAGGGGATTCAAAGGCGACATTGCACCTCACGCCACAGGAACAAAGGATCGGAGCCAAAGGAGTTCATCGCAGCAGAGAGGTTCGCCAGCCAGTCAACAAGGGCTATTTTTATGTTTAGTGGCTCTGGTGGCTTATGGGATGGTGGAAGGGCGTTTGGGTGTGTAGATACCTATTCTGAGAACTCTTGAGGTCGTCGCCCATCTGAATAACAAGGTAAGTTCTGCTGTTCTGGTCCTTCTCTCAATATTTCCCCTTCGATGAGGTTGGGAGCTCTTTCTGAGGGAGAGAATGGTCAGGAATTCTGTGGCTGGAGAAGGGGAAGGAAGAAGGGTTAGAACAAATAGGAAAATCGCTGAGTAAGGTGGCAAGGATGGCATCAACAGAAAAAGAAAAGGGCTTCGGGTCAGAAGGAGGTAGGGATTGAGGTTGAAGGAGGGGTTGCGGTTGCCCAGGAAGAAGCGAAAGAAACAGGAGGGAGAAAAAAGAGAGGACGGAAGGGAACGAAGATGATGAGAACTTAGGAGAAGGAAATTACAATAAAGGGAGGTTGAACATTGAACGTTTTGGACAGACAAGTGGAGGTGGGGATGTCATTGGGGATATTCTTCTTGGGTGGGAAGAGGGTGGTGAGGAAAGCAATCTAACAATTTGAATTGAAAAGAAGTTAGTGGGGAAGGGGAGTGTGAGAGGAAGGGGAATACAAGGATCTAGGAATTGTTGATTAAAAGTAAAATGATTTTCTGAAGTTTTAAAAGAAAAAAAGAAGGGGAGGGGTGAGGAGGGGGAATAAGGAGAAGGGATGGAACAGAAGCTGGTAGGAGTAGAGCGAAGGGGCTGTTTGCAGAAAAGAAGGAAGGATGGTGGAGGGTGAAATTGGATATGAGGTGGCATTAAAGGAATATCAGGGTTTGAAAGATCGAAGAAGGGTTTGGGTAAGGAGTGTGGTAAGAATTTTCAAGGTGGAAGAATATATTAGCAGTCATGCTGAAGTGAAGGTTTGGAATTGATTTGGTTAGTGGCATTTGTGGGTTTTTCTACTGCTGGCTGGATCATGGTAATGTCTGAATTGATCAAGTCAAGAAAAGGAAGATAGATAGAGAAGTTAAAAACACACTCGTCTTTTGTGATGTTTCAGCTAAGCAACTCGGTTACACTATGGACTTATGGCAGTGTTGCGGTGGTTTGAGGTAGAGTCCGGCTTGCATGTAAACTTGCACAAAAGTGAATTGGTTGCGGTGAGAGAAGTGCCAAAGCTCGATAGGTGGGAGGAGGAATGGGGATGTAGAACAGGTAAATTACCTCTGAAATATCTTGGGATGCCTTTAGGTGCGAGGTGCAACTCCAAATTGATTTAGGAGCCTATTGTGGAGAGATTAAACAAGAGATTGGCCTCTTGGAAAACCAGGTATTTATCATATGGATGTAAATTGTTTTTTTCTGAAAAGTGTCTTATCTTCTCTCCCTTTGCATATGCTCTCTCTGTATCCAATTCCTGCTGGGATGGCTAGGTCTTTAGAGAGGAAGATGCGAGATTTTCTGTGGAGAGGCTGGAGGGATGAGAAGAAAAAATACATGCTGGAGGGATGAGAAGAAGAAGCTTGCCCAACAAGCCACTTATGAATAGAAGCTACATTAGACAAAATCTGCCCCAAACAATTACAAATATAAAGCAAAACAAAGTGAGATTACTAGACTAAAATCTGTTTCCAAACATAACCCACTAAACATGCAAAATTACAAAAGTACCCTTGCTATCAAGAAATGTAAGAAAACCAAATAAGTCCTATCCAACAGCAAGCTCAACCACACAAAGAGCATCTTAAGGTGGATTGAAGACTCTAGGGTCTTCCCAAGTTGATTCACTAATAACCCAACTCCCATGTGGACCCCCCGTCTTCATAACAATGCCAAATGAGCATAAGAGCAGCTTTGGTTCTCTTTTATGCCTTAAGTTGATCCCCATCATCTTTCCCCAGCTTGAAAAAACTCAGCTCCGTTGAGTAAAAGGAAAGGTACCTCTCATACATATCACAATTCAAGCATTGGACTCATTAACAGTGATTCAAGTGCAATCGGAGTGAGGACAACATTTTCATTTGATAAGAAACTTGCAATATCCCCCATGTCGTGTTGAAACAATTTGATCATCAATAACATCTTTAGTCTCTTCCTTGGAAGTGGGGGCTTGTGGCAAGCGGCCTACGAATTGGTTCATATTGGTCGTATTACCATGATACAATGTTAATTCCTCCACATTGAACACATTACTCATACCCATATCCTTCGACAAATCAAATATGTAAGCATTAGAGCTGATTTTCTTCTTGATTTTAAAAGGACCCGAGCTTCTTGAATGGAGCTTCTTATAAATATCTTTAGGGAAACGTTCAGGCCTGATTCATACCATTAGCATGTCCCCTTCTTTAAAATCAGTAAACCTGCATCGTAGGTGTTAAGTCCTTAAGTTTGTTGGACTGGGAGCAGGTTATTAAGATACTCCCAGAGACAACTTAAAAAATAATAATAAAGAAGAAAAAGGGCTTTCTAATAAGCCCAATTAGTCCTATTGGTGGGCTCAAACATTTTAGTAAAGAAAGGGGCCTGCAATCTAGTTTAGTGAACAACAGGCCCCAAGTTAATATAGAGGAGGGAGGTGGTTAAGTAACTCCCCACTCATCTCTTCTTAGAGCGTCAAGTGTCACCCCACTTAAAATGAGTTAAGGAGGGAATCTTGATTTCTTCCTACACCCCTTCAATATGATACTCCTTGTGCTTCCCACATGAGATGGAAGACCATATTCTTTCTATTCCTCTCATTCCTTCCTTTCTTCCTTTTTTTCTTTTCTTTTCTTCCTTGTTTCATATTGAAATGCATGTAAGGAGATAACCATCTATAGCCTTGTCTATGAAACTTAGCTAATTATGGTTCCTTACTTCATTTTGATCCTGAAAATCATTACTTTATGTAAGGGAGAACCATCTACAACCTTGTTCATGAAACTTGACTAATTATGGTTCCTCATAGCATGATAATGCACATAACTACAATTTAAAGGTCATTTGCAGCCTTATTGATGAAATATGATTATTTATGATACCTATTTACTTGTTATGTATAAAAGTTTGTTTATTTATTTGCTGGTTTTCTGTCAAACAAAGAGGGAATATATACCAGAATAGTCTATTCATTTGTACTTGTTATTTATTTGCTTGTTATGATACTTAGTTTAGTCTATTCATTTGTACTTCTGAATCAGAATCAAAAGGTTTTCTCTGCCCCTTACAAAGATGTAATTAAGGGAATATCTATGTGATTTTTTTTATCAATAACTGTGGATTGAATTAATATTAAAAATATGAGAATTACAGGGCAAGGGGGCTAAACAATCTTAGCTCCCAAGAACAACCATTAAGCATCAAAAGAACAAAAATTACAAGACAGCCCAAAAAATAGAATGTYTGTTCACCCCTTGTCTAGCTAGACCATCTGCCAAAGAGTTCGCACTTCTTTTTACCCATTTGTATTGGATTTCCATGTCCTTAGTCAGCCACTTGAATTTCCTATGAGAAATTACAGGGCAAGGGGGCTAAACAATCTTAGCTCCCAAGAACAACCATTAAGCATCAAAAGAACAAAAATTACAAGACAGCCCAAAAAATAGAATGTCTGTTCACCCCTTGTCTAGCTAGACCATCTGCCAAAGAGTTCGCACTTCTTTTTACCTATTTGTATTGGATTTCCATGTCCTTAGTCAGCCACTTGAATTTCCTCTTTTCATTACTATAATTCCGAAGTCTAAGACTATCCTTTTTCAGCCAGTTTATCACCACTTCAGAATCTCCTTCTATGATCAACTTGTTAATATGCATATCTTTGATTCTTTGTACCCCTTAAAGAGCTACAAGAATCTCAACTCTCAAAGAATCTCCCACCCCAACTGGTCCAGAATACATAGCTAACAGCTTCCCTTGTTCATCTCTTATTACTCCTCCTATTCCGGATGGCCCTGGATTGCCCAAGCTGCTGCCATCAAAGTTCAGTTTAACAAAGTCATGGGGTGGGGGGATCCAACAAACATTTGAGGCCTTCCTCATTGGAACAAGTTCTGCTATCACCTTCCACTTTCTTTGCAGTTCATCAACTAAGAATTCTGCAAACAGAGCCAAGGTTTTCAACCAGTGTGTAACCCTAATGTGGATGACCTCCATCATTGCTTCCAAACTTCTCTCCTTATCTGTAAATATTCGTGAATTTCTCTCCACCCAAATAGTCCAACAGACTGCAGCCCTCATACACCACATAAACTTGGCCCTTTTTGTTGGCCGAAACGGCATACATGTGAAAAGGCTTTGCACATTTGAAGGGGGGGTCCACCTGCACCCAAACAAAGTACACCACTCCCAAATGATGTTAGTGAACCAACAAGAGATTAGTAAGTGATATCCAGACTCACCATCAGCTTTACAGAGGACACACCAGTGAGGACAAAAACAACTATTGGGTCTTTTTCTTTGAA